GGGGGGCGGCGTCCGCGCGAAGGGTGCGCCTTCAAGACCCTGGGGCGCCGCCGGGGGCGGCCAAAAAATAACAACGCCTGTTTCCGGGGCCCGGCAGGCGGTTGGCGGATGGCCCCCATCGCCCGCAACTGGGTAGGCCTTGCTGGTGGGCAGCCCGGGCGCGCGCGCGCGCGTTTCTCAGGCGTCGCCGGCGAAAGTGAGCGGGCTGGCCTCTCCGCAGGTGCGTGGGTCTGTGCACACGCGTTTCGCCCCCCCCCCCCCCCGCGGGAGGGCCTCATTTTGGCGCTGGGGCGCGCGCACGCGCGCGCGCGGGTGGTGCATGGAGTCCGGGCGGCCGCCAGCCGCGACCCTCTTTTTCTCGCTCGCACGGCCCATCTGTCCCCCGGCCGGTGGGGCCGGCGCGCGGCCAGCGCGGGAATGCGCGCGCTCCCGCCCCCCTCCAGCCCGTCGCACGGCGTGCGGCGTCAGTCGCCCCCCGCCCCCACTTCCCGGTCCGGCGACGGGAGCAGGGGAAGCAGCGGGGGGGGGGGGGGGGGGGGATGATCCCGGCCCTGCCTCGGCTTGCCCCCCCCCCCCCCCCCCCGCCCCCGAGGCCCGGCCGCCAGTGGGGGAATCTCAGCCCGCGCGCGCCGGCGCTCGGCCCCGGGGCAGAGATAAAAGTCCACCTCTCCCCCACGCCCGGCCCATGGGTCTTCCCCTCATGACCCCTCCCTCCCCGCCCCTCCACCCCCCACCCGCTGCACCCCCCCTGCCCCCGCCCTTCGTCGTGAGGTCCCACAACGTCAGTATCAACGCCGCCCCCGAGGACGGCCGCCACCTGCTCTCCAGTGAGTACGACGATTGGCACTCTTCTTCCGACATCCCCACCGGTAGCTCGTCGGCAGCCACCTCGCCGCTCCCGCCGCACATGAGCCCCAGCTCATCGCCGCCGCCGCCGGCGCCCGTCGAGGGCGCGATGCCGGTCCCGGTGTCCCCCCGGCCGCAGGGGTCCGGCGACCCGATGGCCGGGTCGCCGCCCTTCCCTGTTGCGTCGCCCGCCTCGCGCGGGCATCCCCACATCCCGATGAGCACCCTGTCCCCGCCGCCGGAAGCCGCCGCCGGCGATCCGGTGCCGCAGGTGGCCGGGTTCCCCATGCCGGCCGACGGCCCGGCCGATCAGCCGGCCGCCCCCCTGTCCACCACCAACCAGCTGCTGCAGTACCACCACTCGATGCTGGTCATGCGCGATCGCCTGGACCGCGAGGAGGAGCGCGTCCTGCAGAGCCTCGATGCCGCGGCCCTCGAGGATGACACCCGCCTGCCGGATCCCTTCGTGCCGAACCCCGTGGCCCTGGAGGCCCTGCACAACCTGCCCTCCCCCGGGCCTCTCTCCGGCGGCCGGTCTCGGTCTTCCAGCGTGCGTGGCCCCATCTCCCCAGCCCCTGTCCTTTCGCTGCCCGCCCGCCCCGCCC